TCCTGGAAAATTATGTTTTATATAAAATTGTTTTTATGGAAAATTATTTCCCTGTATTGTTGAAGGCTTTCATGGTTGGAATACTGGATTGTTGTAAGTTTTTCAGGCTATATGGCCATGTTCTAGAAGCATAATCTCCTGATGTTTTGCCTGCATCTATGGCAGAGGTCACAACCTCTGAGGATGCTTGCCATAGATGCAGGTGAAACGTCAGGAGAGAATGCATCTAGACATGGCCATATAGTCCGAAAAACCTACAACAACCCAATTATTTTCCTGTTCTAAAAGATTATGACCTTGGCTATTACATTCATGGTTTGGTAACAAGAGATATTACCATGCATTGCTGATTTCAGTTATATATATTTGATTTAGGAAAGTATGAACAGACTCTTCTAGCAGAAAACACATAACAGCTCTACTTAAAGCACTTCACTGACCATGGCAGCAACCTAAAATTACACTTTTCCCATCTCCAACCAAACAGCAAAAATGTATCCCAAAACACTTTTTTCCGGGAGGTGTATAAAATGTGTTTTTGATTTTTTTAAAAAAATGAATAACCTATGTGCAAATTGCCAGTATAGTCATTTTGTGTCCTTATTTGTATTGTCAAGATACCCTGCCTTCCCAGATGTCTTCGTTTACAAATTACACTCTTTATGGTTACTGTAATGAATTCCTGTCTTTATGGACAGCAAAACCAATCTTTTATTCCTATAATAAAAACAGCCTCTATGTATTCTGTTAGCCTGAAAGATGTGGTAGACCAAGCGATACAGTTTCTATGGATTTTTAAATGACACTGTTCCAATGCAACTAGCCTATTAGCTGCATTATGCTTTTTATTATAAAAATAGACTAACTGCAAGAGCTTCACTGTTAAATATGATTAGGCAAATATGTTGAGAGGAGGCCTCCTGGAGAAAATGGAGTAGGTGATGCAGAAGGAGAAATGTAGCACAGAACAGGTAAAGAAGCAGTATAGGAATACTTGGATACTTTAAATGAATTTGGATTGAATCCAAAGGTATTAAAATTGGCAGAAATAATCTCTGTGCCATTGGAAATAATATTTGATAATTCTGATAGAACAGAAGAAGCCCACGCAGATGGAGAAGGGCAAATGTTGTCCACATCTTCAAAAAGGTAAGATCTAGAGCCGATCCGTAAGCAGACAGTCTCTAAGTACTTAGAAAGGAATACCACAATCACTAAAACTTAGCATAGATTTCTCAAAAATAAACAAACAAATCTGCCAGACTAATCTTTTTCTTGTTTTTTGGATAAAGTTATAAACTTGGTAAATAAAGGGAATGCTGTGAATATAGTATATCTTGTTTTTGATAAGGCCTGGCAAGATTCCCCATGATATGCTTGCAAACATGCTAGTAAAATTTGGGCTACACAATAATTAATATTACATAGATTTGTAATTGAATACTTTCTTATAACAGGATGAACATTTCTAAAATTATTTGTTGTTTCCATTAAGAATGAAATTAGCAATGAATTACACTCCTAAATTTAAAGCAGACTATATTACTCTCCCCTGGCTAACCCAAAGTCACCTCATCAATATTAAGGCCCAATGAGAATTTGAACCTGGATCTCCCAAGTTCCACAAGGCTAAAAGACTAGGCTGCAATTATGTACACAAACAACTCTGGAAAGATTCAAAAAGGGGAAAATCTAAAATTGAAGCATCAATTTCTTACTAGGTAAATTACATTACCACCATCTATGAAAAGGAATTAGCATGATTCTTTGTGAAAAACAATATGAAAATTAGTACTAATACTTATTATACCATTCAATTTAAAGGACATTTAGCTGTTTCAAATAGAACAGGTGACTATGATGGTCATCAAGTGAAAACAGGTATTAATCATCTTTATTTAATCATGTCCTTTTATGTGTAATTGTCTATACTTTTGGAAACATATGAGGCTTCTATTTGTTTCCATGAGATGTGACACACCACAGAGACCCACTAAATTTATGAAAATTAGGTCTTTTAGAGTCAGGATAAAAACAAGGAACACTGTCTATTAATATTGTGAGAGGTATTCATAGCGCCAGCCCAGGGGTTCTTTATCACTTTAATTAACAGTAAGGAAAAAAGTCTCATAAATAGTGGAAAAGGTCACTACTGACAGTAGCTGAGGGAAAAAGCTGAGCAGGGATTAATTAGCTATTTCCATTTCTCTCTCTTCTTTGCATGTAGCAGCCTTCTCAGCAGTTTCACATTTTCTGGGGCACTGAATGCTGCAGGATTAAGGCACATCAGGGAAAATAGACACCCAATATCCCATTCAGATCATTCTAGAGAAAGTATGTAACTCTGGAATGTCAGTTGTTTTCTGACCTGGAAGAATGCCTAAGTCTTCCAATATTTTCACTAGCATGGTGATAAAATGGCAGAGAAAGCTCTATCTGCTAAAAAGGCTAAGCATCAAACAATTTGGGGGTCCCTCCAGAAAAAAAAGCTATAAAAATATTTATTAATGAATGGTTTGTGCAGAGTGGTTTGTTTTATTTTGTGCTGTTCCTTACATCATGTTTCAACTATTTATAAATCTTGTAAAAGCAAACTCAGGGCAACATTTCCAAACTTCAGGTTACTATGCGGTGACAAAACACAAAAAGAAAACAAAAAAAAGTAACTACCCATTGAAATCAGAAGATGTTTACTTCTTGGGAGGAGAGCAATGACCAATCTCGATAAAATAGTGAAGAGTAGAGACATCACACTGGCAACAAAGATCCGCATAGTTAAAGCAATGGTATTCCCCGTAGTCACCTACGGACGTGAGACCGGACCATAGGGAAGTCTGAGCGAAGGAAGATAGATGCTTTTGAACTGTGGTGTTGGAGGAAAGTTCTGAGAGTGCCTTGGACCGCCAGAAGATCCAACCTTCAGGAAATAAAGCTCAACTGCTCATTGGAGGGAAGGATAGTAGAGGCAAAGATGAAGTACTTTGGCCACATCATGAGAAGAAAGGAAAGCTTAGAGAAGACAATTGTGCTGGGGAAAATGGAAGGAAAAAGGAAGAGGGGCCGACCAAGGGCAAGATGGATGGATGGCATCCTTGAAGTGACTGGATTGACCTTGAAGGAGCTGGGGGTGGTGATGGCTGACAGGGAGCTCTGGTGTGAGCTGTCCATGGGGTCACGAAGAGTCAGAAATGACTGAACGATTGAACAACAACAACCCATTGAATGGTCATAAGTGTGACAGACACCAAACCAGAAAAGAAGTAGGTGGATTAAAGCGTAAGGGCCCTTCCACACACTGCAGAAAAGGTGGACACTTAATCTTCACAGAGAACTATGTATCACTCTGTTTCAGAGAGATAGCTATATCAGTCTGCTTCATTCTATAAAGAAATGGACAGTGATCCATGAAAGCATTTGCGAATATAAATTTAGCCTAAATAACAGTCTTTAAGGTGGTACACGGTTTCTTCTTTTTCCCCTTGCTGACTAAATCTGGTGCTGCTCTCATCAAGATGGCAGATCTTGCAGCTGGAGCTCAATAACTTAAGCACACCAACAGGAAAATTTAAAAAAGAAAAAAAAGAAAAAAGAAAAACAAAACACTACTCCACTCTAAAAGCATCTTGCAAACACAGCAGTAAAGGCTATTCCTCCCTAGAGTCTAATTTAAGGAAGTGCATTTCCAGTATATCTTTGCAAGTTTGCGGATAATTTCTTAATGCTTTTAACAAAAGCAAGCCAATCTGAGCAATTCTGTACAGGGTTCTGGTCATTTGGTTTTAAGACATAGCCATGGTTTTCTCCTCTTATTCCTCCCAAAGGTACATTGTGAACAAAGTCTAGGCCTCCTGGCATGCTGTTAAGTTTTGAAAGCCTGATACAAAACACAACAAAACACGTGTATTGTGCACTAGAGCCATAATTACGTTTCCCCCTTATTTCCCTATGTGAGCAGGTAAATACATAGACATAGTCATAACTTTCCTCAATTGTAAGGCAACATGCCAAAAGAGGAGAAATTCCTGATCATATGTGGGCTTTCCATGTGAGCAAGAATCATGATTTTCCAGGGATTTCACTTAGTGGTCAACGTGTTGAACTCCCTCGCTCTTTTGTGGTAGCCTTTGAATATCAGGGTATTCAAGTTCAATCAACATTTGACCTATGTATTCAGTCATTCATGCAGGGCTACACAAAAGAAGGGAAAGCAACACGAAGCAGGCTAGGTTCACATATAGACATCCTGTTTTTGTCACTTCTCCTATGAAGAAGAATCTCTAGAGGCCATCAGGAGATATCACACAGAGAAGCTTCACAGATACAGGATTCCCTCCTGTTGTTGTCATGTGTTTGTGAAAACACTTAGGCTTAGATCTTGGGAAGACAACTTCTATGAGTTTCTGTGTGTAAGGAGGTAGTATTGTAGGCTAGGTGTTTATGTTCAGTGTTAGTTATTTTTAGTTTGGGTATTATATTATTTTCATTTTCATTTATTAGTGGTAGATACAAGTATTTTAGTATGTATTTTGTAATGTGTTTTCATTTATAAAATGTGTGTGTGTTTGTGTGTATACACATACATATACATGAATAGATATGCAAACAAACAAACAGCTATGATAGGGAGGAGACAAACTAGTACACTCATGCCTATTCCCCTTCCATATCTACAGATCAGGCAAATGTAGGCAGATATTTATTTTTAATGTGCTTTTTCTATTTAACCTTTCTCCCAATATAAGAATTTAGATGGTGTTTTTTAAACATCTGCTGACCTAAATGTAGGGTAGCCATGAAAGAATGAATTGAAGCTTTCCAGATTCAAGCTTATATTGGCAAAGCAGATTTCAACTTGCATCAAAAATACAATCAGCTGACTTGGATTGTAATATAGGAAATTTGGCCAACAATGCAGACATCTCTAAAAAAGCTACCAAGTTGAGTCAGACAGGAAGTCTCCTCTGCAAGCCTGCCAGGCCTGACGTCTGTAAAACGCTCACCTTCATCACTTCTACTTGCAGGTCTTCGTTGAGGGAAGGAGTCACTCTGACTGCATTCAGCATCTGATTAAGCAACTGCTTGTCATCAGAGTCTGTTTCCATGGATACAAACCGGTCGTCAGAGAGTAGCTTCTACAAAGAAATATGGATCTGTTTAGCCTTAGAAATGCTTGCTTTTCCTGGAACATAATACTGTTATAGCAACCATATTTATCAACCAAATTATCTTATTTTTCAAGCTTTGTCATTGGAGACAGGTTTTTATGGGGGAAGAAAGCCTCAGAGATACATGACTATAAATCACTTGAATGTATGCATGAACTGAACATGTCCTATTTTAAATCATTGTCAAATCTATCTATATTCCTTTGTCTATAAGTTATGACACGCAAGCTTCTTTATATCTGGAACAACGCAGTGAAGGTGGGTTATTTCTATGTCACTGGGGTAGTGAATCTATTCTGGTTCTTGCAGGAGTTATCCAAGGTGCAGAAACTAGGGTTTGTGCCTGAGATTCAGCACCTTGGATAGCTCCTTTGCAGTTCTGGCAAAAGCTTATAGAAGTTTCATTTCTTCAATGATATGGAAGCCGACACCCTGCACTGAGTCAATGTCACCTAAGTTAAAAGAAAGGATAGGTGTTCTGCCTATGTATGGAGGGAAGTCACAATTTTTCTAAGACTCAAAACAGAGGAGCAGGCACATTTTTATCCTTCCTGCTCTAAATTATCAATATAATCTAGATGAATTTGACAACCAGGTTACAAACAAAAGTACTCAATTTTGGAACAAGTGAAAGTTTTTACACAAAAGCAACACAGAGTACTCAACTAATCCAGTCTCTAAAACTGAGAAAGGATTTCTAGAATCAGCGGGCATATGAAACAACCTTAAGACAGGAAGGAAGACTGTGGTTTTATACTGTGCTCTAAGAAAAGGTAGCATTTCACATTTGAACCCCAATAATTCTACAATCTAGATTTCTGAAGTCACAAGTATATCCAAATGTAGTTGGACTTCATTCCCATATACCTGCATCCCTGCTAGAGCATGCTGGGCCAGCTTCACATTCTTGCTTTCCAAAGCCAGCTGGAGTGGAAGGAGACACTTCTCCCTAGTATTCAAAGAAAAGAGAAACATTTGCTCGGTATTCAGGAATCAGCAGAAATTGGTAGTTTGAAACTGCATCTTCATTTTAAAATTCAACTTAGTTAATCTGAATCAATGGAGCCCCCGGTGGCGCAGTGGGTTAAAGCACTGAGCTGCTGAGCTTGTTGATCGAAAGGTCGCAGGTTCGATTCCGGGGAGCGGCGTGAGCTTCCGCTGTCAGCCCTAGCTTCTGCCAACCTAGCAGTTCGAAAACATGCAAATGTGAGTAGATCAATAGGTACCGCTCCGGCGGGAAGGTAACGGCGCTCCATGCAGTCATGCCGGCCACATGACCTTGGAGGTGTCTACGGACAACGCTGGCTCTTCGGCTTAGAAATGGAGATGAGCACCACACCCCAGAGTCAGACATGACTGGACTTAATGTCAGGGGACTACCTTTACCTTTACTAATCTGAATCAACTTCAACCATAATGCAATTAGCTGTAATTTCAAAGCCAGAGACTGAAGTTGGTTAGAAAATCCTAGTTAAAAAGCATCTCTGTTTACAAATGGTGATGTCTAGCAGCATCTGGGTGAATAAAAGCACACACCACTCTGGTCTGCTGTAAGTCTTTTAAATGGGATTTCAACATCAGTCAATATTGCATCTGTATTGACCAGTCTTGGCTGGGTTTTCCAGGTGGAAAGGAGTAAATGTATAGACCTCTTTACTGGATGAAGTGTTATCTAAGTTTAAAAGTAGAACAAAATTTAAAAACAAACACCAGCAATGTTACATTGGAATTCAAACTATGTGCTGCATTAAGTCTTTTCTTGACATACAGAAAGAGAAAAGGGAAAATCTTTTCTTCACTCTTTGCCACCTCAAGTTATCAACAACACTCAACCAAGTGTGTTCCTTTCCTGACATCTATTTGGTGATATGGCAACCTTACAGATATGAATTTATATTACTGAATATGTCAAGATTTTAAATAATTCTGTCAAATTGCTGATACAACACTACATTACATAGAGTGATTTAGAGTATGGCTTCCAACACTGAAAAGGGATCCTTCAAGAAAGAGCCTGTTTTCTAATTTGTTAGAGCAATAGGACAGCTTCCTCAGTCAAAGACCATGTATAGTAAACAAAGAGAAGAATGGTTTGAGCAAACTGTGAGCTATGGATTCTAGGCATCTACTGGAGCCCACTTTTGTGACCCCTGAAGTCCTTTGTTGGACTTCAATTTTTAAAAATGGCTCATTTTGAGGCATTTTTGCCCCACAATATGTCAAAACATATGAAAACATCCCTGCCCTGCTCTACAAGCATCCCAGAGTCACATATAATCCAGAATAACTGAAGAAAAATGAGATATTCGGATTTGGTGTGTGGGGGCCAATATGGATCAGGGGGATAGCTTTTAGCCTCATAGTGTTGTCTTCCTCTAGTCTAAGCATTCCATTTAGAAAGTAGCTGGAACATTCCACAATAACAAATTTTAAATAATAAATGATAATAAACAGATTGCTTGCCCTGAACATGGCATGAAAAGCAAAATACTTACCCTGCTTCATGGTAAAGCTGGTCCCCTAGCTATTTGATGTGTGAGACTAGGATCTATTTTTTTCCTAATAAGCCACAAATAGGCACCGTATTTGTGCACATTTGCCATAATTACCCCCTTTCTTTCCTCAAAACACTCTAGGCTCTAGCACCAGTCCATCAACCACCAATTTGAATAGTGCTGCTCTAAAATACTACCAATGGTGGGTGGTGAGTTTTCTCACAATTAGGTGGTCATCCACTGTGGGCTTAGTCTGAAATCTAAAGGAACTATCCAAGTTGCTAGATCTATTTGGACCTCCTTAGCTCCTTGGATAGCTCCTCTATAGTTCATACTAAGACCCGAGTGGCTTTGTTACCCCACTGACATGGAAATTACCTGCTATGGGCTAACCTGACTTAAAAATGTATTTCTGTCAAAAGCTTGCCTACATAGACTTGACAGTTCCAGGAGCAGTATTCAAAAGTATAAGAGGAGTCCTCACGGCCTTGCCAAAGCTTTTATACTTGACAGTCATGATAAGTATAAAAGACATAGCAAGTGAAGGGAGAGGCAGAGTGAACGTGAGCAGGTTGTGAACCTTTTTGCTAGCTCTAGCTTTGCTTATCTATACCCTGAATATATCCATAAATACAACTATCTGTCATGGCTGTCATTGTGACTGCTTGGCAACCACCCAGACTTCTACTTTTTCAATAGCAAAGGAAGCAAATATAACCCAATGGAACCAAGCCAGCTTGTGGTTCATTACGACTGAGAGCCACATGCATTCTTTAAGGCTCACTGCACCACAACTGAGCGTTCATCTGCCATCTTTTTAACTGATAAAAAACTAGATTTTGTCATAAATCTCTGAAAGTGAATAAAACAATGCAATGAAGTGGATTAAAACCTAGGACTGATTCAATTACCTATCTTCCTATTTCCGAGTAAAGCATTGAGCTGAAGATGTGATTCATGCTACTGTAGCCTTCCTTTTCCCATTGCAGCATTTAACTGAACAAATGGCCATTTTTCACTTCCTGCCACATTGATGAAATTTATTACCATCTGCCTCTTAACTGGAAAGCATCTAAAATCACCTGAAAGATCAGGTTGGTTGGTCAGCTCAGAACTACAAATAACTTTAAGTTTTAAATCTGTAAGTTATTTATTCATTTAGTCAATTTATACACCATTTAAGATATCTAAAATGATCACACCATGCCAACAGAGTGTTAGAGCACTCTTCGTGACCATATCTCTCTCCATGAATCAGCCTGAACTCTTTGATCTTCGGGCGATGCTCTCCTATCACCCTTGCCAGTCTCTCAGATTTGTCTTGTGGGTACAAGGGAGAGAGCCTTCTCCTCGGTGGCCCCTCATCTCTGGAACTCACTGCCTGGAGAGATTAGGAAAGCCCCTACTTTAGAAACTTTTAAAAAAGAGTCTCAAGACCTGGCTCTGCCGTTGCGCCTTCAGAGAGTAACCACACAACTTCATGCTATCGCTCCCTCAGCGTTCTTTTCCCAGGAGTTTCTCCCACCCACCCCCCACCCCCTTGTACGTTGGTTTGTTTATTATCCCGTCCTTCCATGAGTCCTCCTTACAATTAGTTTTACCCATTTAACTCACCCGGAGTTTTTAAACCATTTTATGTACATGCGGCCGCTCTTTGTCCTTATGTTTGGTTCTTATGTTCTATGTATATTGTTTATATGCTTTGATGTTTTATACTTTAATGTTTTGTTTATTTTATTGTAATTTTGTCTTTTTGTATTGTAATTTGTTGTTTGGGCTTGGCCCCGTGTAAGCCGCTCCGAGTCCCCGTTGGGGGAGATGGTGGCAGGGTATAAATAAAGATTATTATTATTATTATATTATTATTATTATAGAGTGATGCATTACTCCCCTTAGGCTTCAGCTTTATCATTGCTCACCAGGCATTGTTGCATTGCCAGGTCATTGAAAAAGGTGTCTTTAGAAATAATCCGTTAATGGTTCTCTTCTCCTGTAGCAAACCATTTCTAGTCCAGGTTATCACCATTGTCGAGGATTTTCAAGGAAATATCTGGTAGAGAAGCCCAGACCACTTCTGATGAACTGGCAAGGAAGATTATTTTTCTAATATGTTTAGATCCCAGTAAGCTTGAAAGAAGAAACATTCATTTCTTTCTCTCCCCCAACCACTATATTCCTGAATCTCCTGATTTTTTTTTCTTATTGTTGGTATTTCGTGTACTATTTGAGTAGAGGAATAAAAGGAGGAATGGAATGAGACTCAACTTGTGGGATTGAAAAATCCTCATGCTTGAAAAAAATTAATCTACCATGGCTAGGATGTTTCACCTATCCAATGAGTAGGACCCCAAGGGTTGTCTGTGGTACTGTTCCTGGGCTCAAACTAGTTTAATCTGTTTGTCCCTGGAGTATTTTAGGACTAAGGGAGTGCTTTTCTAAATAAACTTGTTCTGACTGGTTTCTTATTCACTTTTGTCCTCAAAGAGATCTTTGAAGCCCAAAATAATAAAGGACATTCTGGAAACATGCTTTCCAACTGTCCTGATTTGGCAGAAACAATCCTGAAGAATCCTCTGTTATCTCATTTTTTCAGATGCTTATTAAATGTCCTGGTTTCTCTATCCTCCTCTCACTTTCCCCAGGAGTCTGGGTCCATAGCTATAAACATATCCCTGTATACATAATCTAAGAAAGTTGACAGCACATGTGCATGATTCTGTGCCATCCAAATATCCAAGGAGACTTTGGGAAACAATGACATGATAAAAATGTGTTTGGAGATATGATGCATGGAGCTGCTTTATATGTTTAGATAGCCTTAAAGACTAATCAGTTTTATTTTGGATATTTTTTGGGGGGATTTTGTGGATGTAGTACACTTCAGATTATGCTAAAACTTGCTAGTTTTTAACATGCAACAAGACTCGTCATATTTATGGTAGTAGATACAATGTTTTGACCAAGAACAGACAAGCACCTACAGTGAAGATAGAGAATCCTGTGAACCAAGGAACTGTATTTCATTGCAAAATTGTCACTATCACATAATAGTTGTACTCCCTTTTGGGGTCCCAGTTTTAGTTTTTAATTAATCGCTTAATAGTTTCACCCCTGCCTGTATGCCTGACCTCATAGGTCCAAGGGGAAGGCCTCACAGGTCCAAGGAGCAGATGAAAATGCACCTACCCCTCAGAGCTATGGGAGCTGTAAGGGAAGGAGGCCCTGTAGGCCTTGCTTGCCCACGTGTGCCAGTGGGTGAGGCCTATGGATGTCCCTTAGCTGGTAGTCAGAATAGGCCCCATAGGGCTTGGTTGCCCATAGGCAGCAGCAAAGGAGGCCTATGGGTCCTCCTTTGGCTGCCAGGCAAGGGAGGCACCATAGGCCTTCCAAAATTTCACTGCATAATAGCTGCACACCCCCTTATAAAGGGGAAAAGGGAGGGGTGCAATTATTA